TTAAAATTAAAAAAAAAAAAACCTTTCTTGGCCATTGGGTTGGAAAGAATTCATTTCCACATTGGTGTCTACCTGCTGGTGCCTGTGCAGAATTTTCTAAGTACGTGCCAGAACCTGGGATGCTGTCGCAAGTCATCCTCTAGTAGCTGGAAAACAGGATACCCAAGGACCTCCTCGTGGTCCATCAACAGCCCCAGATAAAGAACACAAACCCAGAAGTCCAGACATGAGGGTGGCTGGCAGGAAGTGCAGAAAGGCAGTCAGCATGGAGACAGGGCTGTGGCCTGATGTTTGGTATAGGCAGGGCTTTGGAAAGAGGCAGAAATGGATCCTAAGCCCAGCTTCCCTGGAAAACACATGCATGAACACATTTATATGAACCAAAATAAGAATTGTCTCTGAATAACAGATTGTTTTCAGATGAATTTTCATGCCCTATCCTATTTAGTGAATTTCTATTTTTAGCATTTTGGAAAAATCAACACATACAAATAGTAATCTAATATTTTTATAAGAGAGAAGTAAAATGAATTTCGCTCCTAGTGTTACAGCAAACACTCGGCGCCCAGGAAGAGACAAGCAGCGTGCACTCGGGGAATCAGAAAAGACTTTTGCACCAGTGCTGGCCCCACCGAGTCACCTTCAAAAGCTGAGCACCCAGCTCATGTTTTACTGATCCTTTATACATATGTGCTTCCAGGTTGGGCGGGACTAGGATAGTGAAGATTCTGGTTCCTGGAAGACAAAAGCATGCAAGACATCTAGCTGGCCATTTTTTTTTTTTTTTTTTTTTTTTTTTTTTTTTTTTTTGAATATGCTCTTACCAGCTTTCCTTCTCATTCCCGCCTCTTGATTCTCAAGCTGCTGTAGCAGACTTAGAGAAAATCATTTTGTGAGGGCAGGAAACCCTTTGCTGCCACAGGAGGAGGAGCGAAGACCATTCTGGCTTCTTCCTGCTGGACAGGGATGTCGAAGAGAGGAATGTGACAGCTAGGATTCTTTGCCATCCGAAGGAGAGTAGTGACAGCTAGAATGGTCCAACTAAGCCATCATCTGGAGTTTGACAGCTTCTAGGCGAGAGGAAACAAACCTGGTTAGCATATTAAGAATACAAGGATCAAACAGGAGGGCTATGAAAAGCATTAGGAGAAGACCAGCTAAAGTGAGGAGCCAGGATGCCTAATTCCATATGTTGCTCCAAGAGTTCCATAAGTCTGCTAATTCCTGCCTCCGTTTGTTGATTCACTCCCTTAGCTGCTGG